CACAACCAGTTAGAAAACAAGGTTAAAAATCTGTACAGTTATAGCCAGGGTATCTGTAGACATGTCCAGCAGCAGAAGCATCCAAACCACTGGAATTCTACTGAAGAGAAACTTGGAAAATGTCAGGGCTAGATGGAACATTAGCACAGCTTTTGAGACTTACAGCTATCAGTTGATATACGTTGTATGTAATACAAGTGCTTGTGCTGAGGTATTACATCTTCACTGTCAAAGACATTCTTCTTTTATGGCTATGCTAAACCTTATATACAATGTTAATAAACTTAGTAAACACCTATGTAAGTTACAATGCTGTAATTCATAAATAACAATGCACTGGTGAGATCCTGCTCAGGTGTACTGAAGATCAAGTTCAATATCACTACCTTGTCTAAAACTACTGCAGTAATAGAGAAACCAAGTGGGGTTTTTTTGGTCCACATTCACACTGTTTGAAGAAGAGATGCTACACAATTGACACATGGTAGGTAGGTATTAATCGCTTTATAAAAATATACTCATGTCATACTCTGATTATTTATATTAACAACAATGACTGTAGATTTATATTTGGCCAACTGAATTCTGTCCACTCTGTTTTGGAAAATAGCTTAAAAAGATGATTTAAGTATGCTAAGATTTAATTTTTAAAAACATTTCCATGGAACAATACATTAATCAAAGCAGGCAAAAGTCCAAAAGCAGAATTAGAGTGAGACAGTACATAATTTTTTTAAGGATGTAAGGAGTCAGCAAATTAAGACATTTAAAAATTACATTCAACTCCACATACTGATGGAGGCATAGTTCCAGGGATTGATGCTGACATAGCAACATCATCTGTGAACAATTCTGAGATTAATTTGGTATATAAATGTGGATTTAGAAAACGATTGTTCAGGAAAATTAGAAGTTAAAACTCACCATTCTGTCTTACAGCATCTTTTGTGATTCCCAAATACAGAGTAGTCAATGACTGAATATGACTGTGGCTCCAAAAGCTTTTCTTCAATACCAATGCGAGCTTTAAAGAGCCCTCCTTTCTCCCCTGTCAACTTGTTGCCACGTTGTGCACTGCGCTAACAGCGTTTATGCTATCTGAGCTAAGACTGAAAGACAAAGGATAGATTTAGTATTTCCAGGAGTGCTGCCAAAAACAGCTAAATAGCATTACAGCTGAATGCGAGATCATGCCCTATATATTACAGGGAAACTTTTATCAAACACCCATTACAGTGCAAATCAAAAACTCCCCATTTTATTGTTTTTATACTTACATACATGAGTGGAAAACAAGACCAAGGAAACTACAATACGTGCCTGACTTTATTACTTTAATAAACAATGCAAATATTCCAATTTTGATGTTTTACCAACAGTATAAAGCTAATGCTTTCCTGAACAAATAAATAACTGCAATAACCAAAATAAGAAAGCTCTCATTAAATAGATGGAACGCAGGACAGGAAAGTTAAAAAAAAAAGAAAATAAAGTGGTGGATTTTTTTTAAAATGTAATTGTAACAATGTTATCAAAACATTTAATAAAACAAGAAAAAGTTGTACGGTATATTTTGGACACCTTTAACTGTCCTCAGCCTCAAGATTTATGTTATTTCCAAACTTTGCATAGAGCTGAACTTTCAGGTCAGATAACACCCTCTGAATTGATTCCACTCGGGATTCTAATGCTTCAATTTCTTCTTGTAAACTTTTCTGAAAAAGAAAAAAAAAAAATCAACTAGTTCTGTAAAACAAATTGAGTCATGTTTGTCAGCAACATATAAACAGAGGTACCTCTTTGCCAACCTTTTGCCAAGTCAGGCTGTAAGACTTATTACGGGGCCAAACTTCATACACTGACATCCCAGTTATGACTTACCGTGCATGCACAGCCTCCTCAAATCATAAATCAAACATGAACTTTAGAAAGTAAAAGGTTCAAAGGATGAACAGATCATCCCATTCCAATGCTCATCACACTATAGCAGCCAGCACAGTAAAGGAGCTCCCTTTTGCCCACACAAACCTTTGCCTCCTCCAGCATCTCTTGTGTCTCTTCTTGGGAATGACTAATGAAGACATCTCCAATTTGGTAGGGTATCAGAAGTGACTCACCATCGTCAAGCATCATGATGTCATCACAAGCATCTTCCAAATTTTGAAGCTGTTTCTATTTATCAAGACATAATAAAGGTGGTTACTTTGTACTAGGTAAATTATTTCGATGGATACATTGTCATGCCATCAGTTGAATAATCAACTCAGTGAGTCTGCATTTTGGGCAAAAATCCTACCTGCCAGCAGGATATCAATATGTTTAAACAGAACCGTTCCAGAGCTGTAATTTACAATAAGTAAATTTAATGGAGCTGTACCAGTAGAAATTTCTAGTCAATACTCATTATCTGTCATCAATAGGATAATTAACTGCCTAGACAAGGGAAATACAGCAGATTTAAATTTCACTAATATCTGATATGCTCTTACACAGGAATTTTTCAATTTAGGTAGAGAACAGAAAAAAATTAATAAATAAGATGGCAAATGTTAATTACTTCATTGCAAAAGTAGGATTGTTTAGAGTCCCAGCACCTTAAGTCACCAATGGAACATCAACATAAAACGGCAACATTTTTACAATATACATAGCAAGCAAAGTAATCACAGAAAACACCCTGTGACAGTACTAGCATTTTTTAAAAACTTGGTAAAACTTCTTTGGAAATGCTATGACTGATGTTGAAAGAAAGTGAATGAATACTAAAAAAGAAAATTAGAGCGATGTATCCTCTTCAGCTGAGCAAAAGAAAACCTCTGTGCTCATCATGACAATCTCTGTCAACACATCGAAAGAAGAACGTAACAAACAACTGCCTTACTGTTTCAAGAAAAAATAAATATGAACAATCTCAGGCAGGAAAGTTTAAGAACACTACAAACAGCCATTATATTTAAACAAAGCTTCATATATGACAACCAAGGAGCTCTAAGAACTGCATGCAGAAATATACTAGTGGTCTTTATTTCTCATGATTTCTTTTTCCACTTCAATGTTCTCTGGCTATTTTCAAAGTATCATAAATCCCGTATTAGAACCAAAGCATTACTTACAGTAAACCATAGCCCTTATTTTCTGTGTTACAGCTGAAAATTAGTTCAGGACAATGAAGAATAAGTGATATTTGAAGCAAATATACCTTTCTCACTTCTATTTCTTCTTTCAGCTCTGTGATCCTGCTAGTATTTCTTGCAAACTTGTTAATTTTCTGTTGATCTTCAAAAGTAACATTGACATCTTCTGCAGCCTGCAAGGAGGAGAGATCAAAATGAAGACTTCATTTCTTATATTAACTTTAATCTCACTACAAAATTACTCCCACAAAGCTCTGAAAAATAGTTTACAGCCGCTACACTCTGCTTATACACTTGATTCTTTAAAACGCCTGTTCAAGGACATCAGCAATAGCTGGGCAGAGGCCCTAGTAACATCCAATTAAAACACCAGTTATCCATGGCATCCTAATGCCAAAGGTTGTTTCCCTGACAGCACTAACAGTTGAAACGGACGCCTCTGCTTCAAGATCACTTCAGGGTACAGCCTAACAGGTTGATGTAATCTGTCAGCAACACCATTTTATACTATTTGGTTAGCTGCGAAGTGCTATGGCGCTACAGGAGATGTTAAACCCACTGAACCGTGCCTCACGCAGACTCCCCGACTGACCTGCGGGGGTGGCGGCAGGGGCTGCGGCAGGCGACCCGCTGCTGGACACGGCTGGGCGTCCTCCATTTACAGGCAGCTTGTGCAACCAGAAAGAGGCTTCGCCAGACAAACTGCACCAGCACAGGCTCCGTACCGCCAGCGTAACCAAATCCGCACTTGCACGTTTGATGGCACGATAAGCGATTTCGATAGAGCCAAAGTAACAACGCCAGGACCGCGATCCACCGACAAGCGACCGGGTTATTTTCGGCAGGGCCTAACCCGGAGCGGGCCTCGCCCGGCAGCGGGTTAAGGAAAGGCGCCGCC